CTAAATTTACACCGCCACTTTATTATCAACATACCCCTCCCCCTCCTCCTCATCATCGTCGGCGAACTTGATCCCATCCTCATCCTCCCCAATGAAGTCATAGAAACTCTCCCTCGTCCCCTTCCCCTCACACTCGACCCCATAGTCAGGGCTCCCCACCTCCTTCTCCTTCAAAATATAAATATCCTTCGCCTCCTTGGACCTGTGCACCCTGACAGGTGACTCGCAGCTCCTCCTGATCTCCCTCATGGGAATGCTCTCATTGCTCCCCCTCCTCTCCCCCCCGTCAACCCCATTAAAATCCGCAATGTCCTTGTACCGCCTCTGACACCCAGGAGTCCTCGGAAGAATGAACTCCTCCTTCACCTCGCAGACATCTCGATCACTGTCCCTGGAAGAGTCTCGTCTCAGAGCCCTCCTCTTGCCCATCAATCCCTTGGAAACGTCACTCGATCTCCTAATCACCTCACTGCCCTCACTGTTATCGACATACTCCTGCAATCTGTTTCTAATAGCAGCTGGAGTTCTCCTCTCGTTGTCCCTCCGGCAAATAGCACTCCTCGGTCTCTCGAAGTCATCGGCGCCAACTCTCTCCTTGTAATCCTCATCCCTCAATCGATTTGGAATTATGTCAACTTGAGGATTATTATCGCTGGGACGTGATAAAGACTCCTCGCTTATTCGTGTTCTCGACTCCTCGAGAATCCTGTGAATTGGGAGGATTCCCTCGCTGAGACGTGCACGGTATTCCGAGATTATTTCGTCGTGCAGTCGACACTCCCCTGGGTCCAATCGCCTGGGAATTGAGTTCTGCTCGTATTTTATCGTTTTGTATTCACCTGGGGTGAGCGATGTGCCCTCTGTGTCGAGGGGCATTCGACCGGGAATCTCCTCGTAGTGGTGGTCCTCCTTGAGGGAGTCCAGGAGCTCTGAGTCCGGGGTCAGGGGGGGTATCCACACAAGAAATGCCGGGTCCATGCCCAGGTATGAGCCCGGGGCTGCACCGGCATTCACCACGTTGTAGTCGTAGTAGTCGAGCTCGAGGTCTGTGTCGGGATTCGCTAGACTGAATTCAGAGCCTGGACCCTGCAGCAGACGCTCACGGTTCCTGCGGTCTTTCGTCTCCTTGCCACAACGCAGCGTCGAGATGTTCGAGGATGTACTGGCAGGGGAAAATCCCTGGAACAGGAGGATTTTTAGGGGACGAAGAAATTTTAGAGGAATATCTAGCAAATTCGCTAGGATCTTCTACGGTAATTGGCTAGAGGGGTGGAGGTGCGTGAGTTGTGCTCGTGGTTATGGCTAGTCTAGTAATGGATAAAGAAACTGAGGACTGGGTTCATTGAGTGACTGCAGTTGTTTTTGTGAAGAAGTAATGGAACAATGGAGTTTTGTGAAGCGAGTGAACTGGGAGATTTGCATTGGTCATTTGGTTCTCGGGGAAGTGGTGAAGATTGTGAAGATTCAATGAATTTTCAGTGTTTTTCAGGCAAAGTATTGAATTTCATTTTTAATTTTATGTTTAAGGATATCCTAGCGCATTTACGATGATTTTATTAACTCAACTTTACAGGTGAATTTGAATCTCGATGTTGAGCCGTTGAAAAACATTTTTTAAGGTTCGCGTGAATTATCTTTCTAACGCGATGTTGGTTGTTTTTTTTTATTTTGATAATTTGAAATGTTCTTCAATTGCAGTTCGGTTTTACAGAGCCCTGGAGTCTTCAAAAATTATGATTGTAGAATCAAAAAAACGTTGGAGATAAACTGAACATTTTCAAAGGGCGTTTTTCAATAATATTGGGAAATAAACCCAATAGGGAGGAAATGGCAAATTAACAATTTACAGTAGCTAATGGCTGTTCAGTCGTCATTTGTCACAGTAGCTAATGCCTGTCAGATCGTTAGTTCCCATGATAAATTATCCATTTAGAATTTCCTCTTTGGCGGACTCATTTCCTAATCTTCATTAAAAATGCTCTTTGAAAATATTCAGTTTTATTTCATAATTTTTACACCTACGTGATGTAACATCCACTGGAAATTGTGATATATTTTAGATTATGAAGATGAAAAAACAATTGAGAGAATGTTCGAAAGATAATCCATCCGGGCTTTCAACCGAGAGTTCAACAGAAATCCAATAGAATTATCTAGCGAATTCTTTAGGTTTTTCTATCAAATTTTTCCATATGTGTTGTCTAGAAGAAAATGTCAGAAGTCCTTTTTTGTAGAGAATTTTATAATCCACGAAAAAAAATTACCTGAAACAGTTCTCTGAACAAAATGACTAAAATTGTCAAAAAATGAATTTTCGCCTTCATCTTTCACCACTTCACTAATGAAAAATCAATAAAAAATCAATAATCAGTTGAAAAAAATTATAGAATAGATCAAAAGCGAAATAAGGAAACCCATCCAGAATATAACGACACTCTAAGCATTAATATTCTCGCATATCACGGCTGGGGATACCTTGAATTGGAGTATAGATGGTTTTTGTTGTGCTAGGCTTACGTTATTCGCACTGTTGGAGCCGCTGGTTGTGCTGTATCGTCGATCGTTTTCCGAACTCGATGCCTCCTCGGACACGGGACTTATTGGACCAACTGTACGGAGTCTGTAACATCAAAAGGCAGAGGGACAACCCCAATGTACTTACGGATGGCCAATAAGCTGTCATCTATCGATTTTCCCCCCGACTTTCATAATTAGATTGTGGAATATTCGAGGGGTGTTTTGATGATTAGTTTTGATGCAATAATTTACGATTGATTCGATGTGACGACCACAACTCCAGAGTTTTACAATTGAAAGAGTATTTGAGTGAATGAAAATTGTGGAGATGATTGTGTGATTGTATTTGCTTGTTTTATTGTTTAGGAAGTGATGGAGAAGTTCAAGTCAAATTACATTTTTCAGTCAAAGTTATTTCAACGAGAGAAGGGAATATTTCTTGTGACTTAATCCCAGATTTCTTCATCATAGGATAATTTATAATTACAATAATTTCATAATTACAAAACTTAATTATCAAAATTATTTATGTAATTATTTTAATAATGAATTATTTTGGATCAAAATGTCAATAGAGTTATTCATAAATGGAAAAATACCTTCCAAAAATACTTCTTTTAACATTTTTTGCTAAAATCACTCGTTATTTCGATAATTCCATAGTTATACGATGTAAAATTTCCCAAAACAAATTCATTACTTTCATTAATTACAAAACTATCTTGATTGACTTCAGGAGAAAATGTCAAAATGCCTTTTTTGTAGCTGATGGAATTCTCCTCTGAAATTGCCTCCTCAAATGATTGATTAACGAGATAATTACACGATCGTAAAACGTGAAAATGTGGGAAATTAATTCCACCCTTCCATTAATATTAATTATCTCTGAAATGAGTGATTTCAAGAGAAAATGTTGAATAATCTTAAAATGATTTGTTAACGAGATAATCACACTGACATGATATCGACTTGAACAATTAACTCCTCAGTTCACTTCCCCATTGTACGACGGACTAATTTTTTTGTCAGTGAATCTATCCTAAACACACAGAATAACACTAAAATTATGAAAAAAGTGCTGTGCACAATGTACATTTCATTGATTGCGATCTCTAAAATGCATTCGAAAGAACCAAAATGAACTATTTCTATTCATGCACTAAAATCCCCATCTCCTTCAATATTACGTTATTCGAATTCCATTCCGCAATTCTCGAGAAGATTGCAAAAACACTGACGATTACACTAAAAGAGAATAGAAAATGCACTCGATATTAACAGAAAATTAACAGGTCTCCAAAGAAATAAAAACAAATTCACTGAGTATTCATGTTAATTATCTTCATTCTGATAATTGGAGTAATAAAATTAGAGACTGGGCAGAGTGCCCTAGAACTTACTTAACTGGTCTGGCGAATTTGATCTCAGGCTGGCCGATTGTGGCTGTGCTTGATACGGAGGAACGTCTGGATGGAGTGCTTCGTGTGCTTGGCACTATAGTTTTTTGAGAGCCACTTTCGTCGTTATCCTTTTGTCGTGGGGTAATTGACTCCACGCTCTGCGCCTCCTCCATTCTGTTATTTCAATCAACAAAATCCAAGCAAAAGTGAGTGATATCAATGGTAAATCATGAACGTATTTACTTTCCAATTATAAATAATATGAGTGAGCATTGAAATTGGATTTTCTCAGGTGGAAAATGATTTTTTATCCTGTTTTGTGCTCTCTCTGTTGGAAAACATGAATCGTCTATTGTATTTTGGTATTGAAGATTGGAAATGAGAGTGGGATAGGCATGATGAATAGTCAGTATACTGCGTTCTTGATTCTATCCTTCATCTCTGATTCCCCAGGAAATTCTTTACAACTACTGTACAATACATCTGTTTGTCAAGGATTCAAGCGGTTAATACACTTTAATTTTTTAAAAATTGATGGAAAAATTCATAAAATCAATGAAAGCGCATGACTGAATTTGCTTTTCAATTTTAAATATGATGTTTTACCCTGTGTTATGCTCTTTATATTGGAAAAGATGAAACGTCCATTCTATTTCTGTTTTGACGATTGAGAGTAACAGTGGGATAAACATGATGAATATTCCGTATTCTGCATTCTTGATTCTACCCCTTCATCTCTATGATTCAGTGAATGCATATTTATTGAAATATTTGATATCTCTTTTCCAATAAATGAATGAATAAACACATCTTCGTTTGTAAAATTCGACTGTTGAAGGGACTAATATTTAGAAAAATCAATTGTAAAATTTATAAAATCAATGAAAGCTCATAATTGCGTTCTTTTCAATTATGAATAATGTGAGTGAGCATTTAAATTGGATTCTCTCAGATGGAAAATTACTCTTTGTGTCTTCCATATTGCAAAGAACACTCGTTTCAATCGCTTTGAGCAAAGTGAAACGGTTTGATTTTAAAACATTGCAAGGAATCTTACTCCATTCCCTCGAATTTTAAAACAAATCAACGAATATGACATAAAAACTAATAAAAAAATGAAAAATAACAAATTCAAATTGAATTTCTTCTCGTGGAAAATTACTCTTTAGGTTCTGTACATTTAAACATTTTCCATCAGAAATTGTAGTAAAACCCTATGAATATTAAAAATTCTGCACACGTATTTCGCGCACGTCAAGAAAATTCTCGACGTCTCATTTGAAACTGCCTAGACACCCGCCCCTCTCTCAAATATCAACGCCAATAAAGAAAGTTTTACCTTCCACCCACTGAAGAAATTTTAAAAAAATCAAATAAAAAAGGGAATGAACATAACAAAATTCTGAATACACCCAGAAAGAAATTGTATTTGCATGAAGAATTTTTCAAACCACAGACATGTTTCGAATTCAACACATTACGCGGAATGTCACTCCGTTCCCTCGAATTTCAAAGCAAATCAAGGACTATTACATAGAAATGAATAAAGAAATAAAAAATGTCAGTAATTCAAATTGAATTTCCTCTCGTGGAAAATTACTCCTCAAGTCCTGACATTCAACTCATTTGAAACTGACTAAACGTACGTCCTCCCTTCATCCTCAAATATCAAAGCAAGTAAACAAAGTTTAACTTCCCCCCACTGAAGAAAAATATTTAAAAAATCTAGATATGACATACTCCGCTTGAGTCTCCGTGCTTTCATAGCCGTCCTCAAGATCACCAGTGGTTTCCTCGAGCCGTCCGTGCCCCGATGATCCCCTCCGAGATAATCGAACCAAGGAAACAACTTCTGAGATTAAAGTTGCTGAAGAAATAGCTCTCGCACGTCTGGCCAAGCCCTGCATAGATCCACTGCAGGCTGAAATGAAAAGTGGAATTTTGTAATTAACTCCCCGCAGATAACGTCTCAGTAAAAACAACTCCACAACTTCTCGTAAATTTCCCAAGGGGAATCAAATGAAGCAATCGATATCAGAACGATGAAAATGACGTACTTGAATTGTCAGTCAGGCTGTCCAGATCCTCGGCAACCTGATACTTCCTGTATTTGACCGCATACTGCAGAGCGAGAATGATGGAGACGAGAAACATGAGTAGTAGGAGTGATGCGGCAGCGAGATGAGCTGGGGAAAGCCACATTGCCCAGCGTCCGGCGGCAGCCATGACTTTTGGACCAATGAGGACTGCGGTTGTATCCGCTGTTCCATTTTCCATCTGAGGTTTCACTGTAACCCGTCCATTAGGATATCAAATTACGGGGGAATTCAGTGTGGAAAAATGGAGAATTAGAAATGCAATGGAAATGATGTTTGGTGGGAGAATTTTATAGAGTGTGAGTTAATTCAATGGGGTCTGGTGATGATTGAGCTATTTTGGTGACGAGAGGAATGTCGAGGGAATTTTTCTATGGGAGAGGTTGTCAGTCTCGAACTATCTTCTGTCTTTTACTTATAAGAATAAATAGAGATATTAAAGTCGTATGAATAAACTCCAGTTGAGTCGTTGAGTGTAACGAGAAAAAATGAACACAAAACTGAAAAATGAATAAAAATCCCAAAAACGTATTGATTAAAAATGAGAAACGTTCTCAGACTTGGACTTATCGAATAATTAAGTATCAATTGTCAATCGAAAGAGCCAATGCAATCATTATGCATGCATCACCAAATAAACAAAACGCGTAATAAATAAAAATAAAATCACTTCAGCCCAGCGCCACCGAATACCACTCAAACGAAATGAATTTTTTTTTTGTAACTCACAGAATATCGAGGCATGAGCGAGAAATCCACCGACACAGGATGCCCTGGCCACCACAATTTCATCGCTGAAGAACTCGAGGAGGAGTCTCTCTTCACTCGAAATTATTGTGCCAGATTCTGATGGACTTTTATCCAATGCAATATCAGCTAAGAGTTCAGCACTCAATGAATCACCGTCTCGTGCTCTCACGTACTGTCCAGGGCACGGGAACTTTGTTTGATCGAAGTGAAGTTTGATCGCGTATTCTGCTTCAGTCTTTTGGGACAAAAAAGAGCACTGGACACTTTGTTAAATAAAAATCAGTTGCAATGTCAATAGTTTCTACTTTTTTTTTAATTCATTAGGAGAGAAAGAGGATAGAGGGATACACTTGAACTCTTCAACTATTCACGGGTAAAATAAATCTCGAGTTGGGAATTGTCTTATTAGTACGGAAAAGTTTTTCAACTTTTGTCGCAGATTTTTTCGCAAATAGCTTGAGGTGTCTCGTCTGTATTTCTCCGGGGA